GGAGGGAGGAGGAGGAGAGCTGAAGCGGAGGCAGCGGGGCAAAGAGGGCTGGTAGTCTGACAGGGAAAGGCCGTGTCCCCTGAGCACGCTGGATGTCGGCACAACGTGGCACAGTTCAGCTCTTAGTGCGGTCACAGGCTAGGAAGAGAGGCAGGCACGGCGGTTCACGGTGAGAGGACGTGACCTGGACATGACTGCAGCTGTCACTAGGGAATGGCCTTGTGTGCGGACAGTAAGGGTGTGGGGCGGGAGTGAACTGTGAACGCATGGTGTGCCTAAGTGATAGAGCAACAAGGGTCAGGAGGAGAGTCCGGAGCAGCAGGCAGGCTGTAAGTCAAGGACTGTGGACTACAGGCTGCAAGGGTTGGGACCCATTAAACATGTGAAGTGGTCAGACTTTCACTCTTAGCAAATCCCACTGAAATCGCTGTGTGGGACGCGAGGGCTGGAGAGCGGTCAGAGGAGAAAGTAAACCAGGAGTGTTCATGCTGAGAAGCCCTGGGTGATGGAAGGAAGCTGGAAAAAGGTCCGGGGCAGAGGTCTGGACATGGTGGGAGGAAAGCACTGCAGAGGTCTGGCCTCTGGAGGAGACGCTGTCAGGGTCCCTGGGCTCAGGACTATGGTGAAGACAGAAGCTTGCTAAGGAGGCAAGTTTCCGATGTGAGGAGCCTGTGGAGACCGTGTTATCGGGAGCTGGAGGGAAACGGAGGCGCTGGCAAGAAGGATGATTTGACTGCTTCTGTGTTGTTTGTTAGAGGTGGTCAGGCTGAGTCACGAGGAGAGGAAACCGTTAGAGACACGAGGGAGGACCCAGGAGTGAAGGAAGCACAGCGCCCGCCGCTGCCAGGAGGAAGCCTTCTGGTGGTGGGCGGCTGAGGAACCAAGCAGGGAAGGAGATGCGCATTTCCCTCAGTAAAACAGAAGGGGTCACTTTCTTACAGGGAAGGACATGCACATTTAAGATGGGCCTTGAATTTTCCCTAAAGAGAAAAAGGACTAGGTGTAATCAAGGCTGAGGTAAAGACTGGCAGATGGCCACTGATCAAGGGAACATGATATTTTAAAAACCTCACTGAATCATTCTTCACAAGACAGTTTATTTTGGTTCGGAGTTCAAATTTCACTCAGCAGTGATTCAGAGTGAAACTGCATATTTTCCCATTTTCTTACAAAAGCTAGCTTCAAAATGAGGTCAAGGCTACAATGAAATTAGTTAACAAAAAAAAATCTTAAAAGCATTATTTGTATAATTTCTGCATATATTTATGCAATGTTTGTATAAAATACCACTTATATTACCACAGCAGAATTTTTTACCCTTAAAGGAAGACAAGTATTACATTTTGTGTTTACAGATTAAAAAACTAAGTTTCACAGAGGAAGGAAAATAATATATGCTGTATTTCATAGAAGGTAGAAGTGGTGATACTCAGGCCCAAATGTTTTACTTGCTGAAATAGAATTTCCCCACTATACCATCAATTTGCTTTAACTGCAAATCAAAGATAACTGGAATTTAATTTTTACCCATGTTTGTTCTGTATTTAAGGAATATAAATAAGATTGTCTTGAATCTACTGGGAGAAAAAAATAAATTCATCAAGAGAAAAGTCAAGTTTTAGAGACACGTAAATACCATTTTTTATCAAAAGCTAGTTTTAGAGACATAGTATCAATAAATTTTCAGGCCGGGGATTTAGCTCAGTGGCAATGTGCCTGCCTCTCAAGCGCGAGGTCCTGAGTTCAATCCCCGGTACCACAAAAAATATATATATATAATAATAAATCCTCCAATTTTAAGAATGTGTCAAACTCCATAGAAAACATTTAAGGAACACAAGCAAAATTTTTAAATGATTCTTGAGAATTTAAATGTAATTAAGTCAGTACAGGTCAGAATTTACAATAAATCTGTGCCTTTGCATTTTTTAGAGTTCATATACAGTATATCTGTATAACTGAAGGCCAATCGTGGAGGATGGGCAAAGTGTTTCACCGAAATTTGAAGGTAGTACCTACAGTAATCCAAAAACTATTTGAACTTCTGGAATATTAGGAAATTATTTGATTTCACTATACCATGAGTTAATCAAAACAGTGATAAATACACCACTGTTTATGAAGAATTCAGGCTAGGGAGTCTTGCCCCAAACACTCTCAACTGGACAAGAATTTAGTAATGCCATGTTCCTGATAGTACAGAATCAACATAATGGAATCTGTGAATCTGAGCAGATCCACATCTGTCCACAGTCATGCTTAACTGCAAATAAGAACTTCCAAGTATACACATTTCTGGCCACAAGCTTTGATATCAGTTCAAGAGACTTAAGAACATAAATCTGTTTCCAGTGCCCAAAGTAATGTCTATGCCTCAAATTAAATTACAGTGCAATAAATGTTTTATTAACCATTAAACTAGGAAGGAATGAAAAAAGTTCCAAAAATATGAAGCCATTGATTGCTGTGTTCTGAATACACAAACTCACCCTTTGGGTCTGGAGCTTAATTCGAATCAAAAGGAAACATATAGATCATCCAGCCCAATTCCTTAATTTGAGAGACAAGGAAGCTGGGCTCGGGAATGGAAGCTTACAAAAACCCAGTTTAGGTACAAGTGGAATTAAAATCCAGGTATCTGGATTCAGTTTAATGCATTTCCCACAAGTAGCACAGATATAAATAACCTCCTGTAATTTCATCTGGCCAGCAAATTCAGAAGCTGAGTACAAAGAACTTCAGGAAACATGCTGAGCTTGCCATTTTATCATATTCAAAAATACCTACTATAACAAATGAATAACTAAATAGCATTAAAACTACAAAAAGGAAATCATTTCAATTAGTCAAACATAAACACACTTCAAATCTTACTATGCAAGATCTCTCCCAAATAGCAATCAAATTCATAAAATGTTTGAGTTCAGTAGTTTTCTCAGAAACCTCCCTACTGAAAACACACAAGAAACAAATGAAACAAAGGAAAATAAAAAAATAACAAATAGCCAACAACTAGTACTTTTAACTCCAGAGCCTTCAATATTAAATGAACATTCCAGAGTGAGCAATGATTTTCATCCATTGCCAATCAAGGCAAAAATCAATCGCTGTGAAAGCACACTGGTTTGCATCGCTGCCCCGTGCATCTTAGCGTCTGGAAAACCATTCTTACTCAGTCTTGAGACTGTCTGTACAGTCCTGACTGAAACATACTTCAGAGTGTGCCTTCCTTCCACAGGAATATCTATGTCAGGGTTATTTATAGCCCCTGCCTTCCATCAGTGCATTTTCAGGTAAGAAAAATAAAATCAGCTCCACAGAACTCTTCTGTAAAGATCTGAAATGAAAGCTAGAAATCTTGGTGAGTGTCCTTTGGGAAGACAATGAAAGCCTTTCGTATGAAATGTACATTAAATTTTTCTGATATCCCAAAGAATACTCACCTTACACTCTTTAATAAGCATATACAATGAGCCCCAAGTGCAATTACAGATGTAATTGAAGGCCTGCTCATCTTTTTGTATGGATCTTTATGCACTCTAAGATTATTAGCATAACCCCCTCCCTTCTCTTTATTATGATTTTGCTGAATGTGGGCATCTTCTTTGTTTCTTACTTAGATGCCTTTTTTCTCTATTTTGAAGCTTTCCCCCTAATTCTTTACAAAAGCAGGACATGCTTCCCCCTGCTGGGGAAAAAATTAAATTACAAGGTACATCAGAACACATTCCAAAGTCCTGTGTGGAGAAATTAAGTTCTGGGAAAGATAAAACGTTAAGGAGCCAGGTGCACAGCCCGCTCTGCCTATTTCAGCCAGCTGCAGAGAACCCTATGCAATCCACTTTGTTAACAATTTTCAAGTAAAACAACTCACATTAATGATTGATGAATTAATCGTTGAGTCACCCATCCCAAAGAGAGCTCCAATTGGTAGGTCAGAGAAAATAATCAATCTGTAACTTTTTTCACTTTAAAAGTATTACAATGCTAAATCAAGTCACTTCTGGAAAAATATATCGAGGTAAACTGTTTGGGAAGACTTAATTGCATTTTTAGTCATTTTGAACAATTTTAAACATATATTCAGTTTTTCAATAGTCCTATCATTTTGCTTTTGTCTTTTCTTTTAAAAGTAGGGGAAGTTTTTCTCAATTGACTCTAGCTTTCTACTTTGATTTCTATTTTTTCCATCCCAAACATAGTATGCATAGCTGCATTTTACTCTCTATTTTAGTCTACAAAATCAGCCTTTTTCTAGAAAAGAGTTTAGTTCTTTCGCATGTTCCACATTCTGATTACAACTGTTTTCCTAACTGTTTAGCAGGCAAATTATAAATAACAGCGTATCAATAAAATCCCCAAATAAAACTACTGTGGATAGGAGTCACATAGGGGAGAGTGTTTTCCTTCCATGTACAGCTGAGTCCCAAGGAACTGTGTGAATGCTGGGCAGCTGGAGTGGAGGAAGCTGTCACTTTGGGTTCAGTGTGGGTTAGTCCATCACCACCCATGCTACAAAGCTGCACGTTTGACGAAGCAGGGCATTGTTAATGAGACACCCATCCGAAATCTGCAGGTATACGGAGTAGGTGTGCGATTCCTCCCAATGATGCCCTGGTGTCTGTAGTGGACAGCAGGCTTTATTTCAACGTACAGGGAGCTATCTTGTCTATATTTGTGCCATACAGAAGTTCGTGTGAATGTGAGCGTGTGTGTGCGCGCGTGTGAGAGTGTGTGCGTGTGAGTGCGCGTGTGTGCGCTTCTTTCCCCACCATCTCTCAGAGCGGCGCCGAAGGCTGACTCCGCCCGGCGGACTCCAGCACAGGTACACGGAGGTGGCTCCCGAAGGAGCCCGCCCGCTTCGGGGCCGGGACCGAGCGCCGCCCCGCGCCCCTAGGCGCCCGGGATCCACGGCGCAGTGCCCCGGGTCCCCCGCGCCCCGAGGCCGAGCCCGCGCCCCGCGCTCTCCACCGCCTAGAGCCCGGCGGGACCGGCCCTACCTTCGGCCAGCAGGCGCGCGGCGTGCACGAACGAGGGGTCCAGGCTGTCTTTCTCGGCCATCAGCTCGGGCAGGTACTTTCCCTCTTCCATGGCGCGGCGCTGGCGGCCTCGCGGGACAGGCGGGCGCGGCGCCAGTGCCCGCTCGCTCCGCTCCCCTCTGCCAGGCCCCGTCCCCACCGTCGGCCCCGGCCGGCCGCGCGCAGCAGCCTTCGCCGGAGAGGCGGGCCCCGGCCGAGGCCCGCCCCCGCCCCGCACTCATTGATGATCGTGCCTGGGGGGCGGGGAGACTGCGAAGGCTGCGGGCTCTCATTGGTTGGAGAGCACGTCGCGTCGTCTGACTGACAGCAGGCCGCTGCCGCGGAAGGGCGCCCAGAAGGTGCGAGCGAGCGCTTTCTTCTCCCGGTCGCGGTCCCCGCTTGCCGGACAGCCCAGTTCTGCGGCGCCCCAGCCGGCGGGCCAAGGGTGGGGAGGGCGCGGAGAGCGGGAAACGCACGCCGAAGCGCGCCGCGCCTGCCGGCCCAGGGCCAAGGCGAGCTGGGCACAGGTGTCCGCTCCCCGCGCGGCCGCAGACGGCGCCCCGCCAACCCACTGGGGGCACCGGAGGGCGGATCCTCAGTCTGGGCGGGCGAGGCCTCGCGGCCTGGCTTAACCGGCCACCGGGCCCTCCCGTCCCCGCTGTCCGGCCCCGGGCACATGGAAAGGCGCGGGGCTGATGAGAGGCTCCCTGGGCAGCCACGGGGCTGGAGGGCTGGGAGAGTTTGTGAGGTGGAAGAAGGATGCTGAGGTGGCCCTGATCCCAGCTCCTCATTTAAGTGTGACAGCTACGTGGGGTCAGTCCCGCCTCTGTTTAAACAAGGGCTCAACCCTCGCTCACCGTGTTCTGCTCACAGTGGGCGCAGCCCATCCTTCCCTGAGGGGCCCCATCTTGTAACCCGCCTATTTCAAATGCTAATCACCTTTCCGTGGTCCTGGATTCTCTTCTGTAAACCTTTTCAGTTCCCCCTTTGGGTTAGAAAAACAGGTCCCATGTTTCCCAACATAAAATATGCTGAAACTTTTCCAAGTTCTCTTACTGTACCTGAGGCTTTTCCTCATTTATGTATTTTTAGATGGAATTGTGACATTATCCTGTATTCGGGCAATATCTAAAAACTTTAAGGAGCCTCGCATCTGTCCTTTCAGTTTGTCTTCACGGAAGCCCTCCCAGGAACTTGAGCCAGGTTTTGCTTTCTCTGCCTTTAGTAATGAGGGAAGCGAGGCAGATAGAGCCCCAAAACTCAAAGCTGATGGATGCTAAAGTCAAGGTTTAAATCAAGACTATTCAGTGCCAGGTAGCTTCACATTGTACTACTGTAGAGATGTTAAATATTTACTTTGTGTGTATTCATTCATCCTATGCATCATAGATACTAAAAAGCCTCGGGAGCCTGTACCTGGAGGAACACTGATGACCAGGATACATATTCCATTTGCTACCATCACAGAGCTGTGTTCTAAAGGGGGAAGACAGAGAAAACCAAATGCACGAGACAAATGGTAATTGTGACTGCAATACAGGCCAAGAGGGGAACCAATCACAGGGCCAAGAAAGAAAATGCAAGAGAACACATGCCTGTCCATGTGAATACACAAATACGTGTGTGTACATATACATATTTATGTGACTTTTAAAACTTGAGACAAAACCGGACAGAAACAGTGACAGCTGTGCATGGTGTGCAGAGAAGGGTGCGCCAGGTTACTTCTGAAACATCCAGGTTGATGAAGCTAATTTATTGTTTTGGCAAGGGCTTACTGTTCCTGACAATCCTCCATATGATAAGGGGGCCTTTAGAATCGAAATCAACTTTCCAGCAGAGTACCCATTCATACCACTGAAGATCACCTTTAAAACGAAGTTCTGTCACCCAAACACTAATGAAGAAGGGCAAGTTTGCCTGCTGGTAATTAGTGCTGAGTACTCAGAGCCAGCAACCAAGACCGACCAGGAAATCCAGTCCCTCACAGCACCCCCAGCCCCAGCACCCACTCCGGGCTGACCAGCTGGAGAATACTCAGTTCTGTAAGAATGCTGAAGAGTTTACAGAGAAATATGGGGAAAAGCAACCTGTGGACTGAAATGTGCCACAAATGATTCCAGCAAGTGTGAGCAGGGACCGAGCAGTGCACTCAGACACCTGAAAAGCAGGACATGTGCTGTTCACTTTTGCAGTTACTAGCTTTCTACAGTTTTCTTAATCAAAGTGGCCTGGCAACCTGTGAAGAAAGGATCAAAACTTTCAGATATTCTAGTTCCGCTTTCTTTGTTTTAAAAATCACTGCTTCAATCCACTTCAAAAACATGGTGTTTCTTGTCCAATTTACCCCAAATCTGCAATCTACATTTAGACTATAAAGTTAAAAAAAAAAGAAAAAAGAAAAATAAAGGGTGCTGTTCCCCTTCCTTCCTCTCCTTGCATTGTTTGTGTTTCAAATTCATTTTCTAACACCCAGACCCCATCCTTACTGCAAAGAAGAAACCACTCAGGTGGCTTTTCTTTTCCAGGGTTACATTGCCCTCTGTGGGAGTCGGTCCAGTTCTCCTGATGCCAGTCTAGGTCCTTTTTAAAAACTGCAAAACAAGCAAACAACACTCCCCCCTGCAAAAAAAAAAGAAAATGAAAAGAAAAGCCCTGCAAAGGGAGGCCCATCTCTTCTGTAAAAATCTGCTCGTGTTTCCACAGCAGTGTGGTAGTGGGCTGTGTGCACCTGCCCGGACCGCAGCCTTACCTGTTTATGCAGGAAACCCTCAGGCTCACCAGCCAGGACACTGCACTTGTGAGCTGATGAATTTCTCTCCAGAAAGGCTCCTTTCCTGCAGCCACGTCACGGGGTCACTGGTCAGGGTCAGAGCAGGAGCCACAGTGTCCACTTCCAGCCCCAGGTTCCACATCCCGACCTCCATCACGGTGTGCCACGGACTCCACGCCTCCTCCCTGCAGCAGCCCCACCAAGCCCTGCCTGGCACAGTTTGATCCTCTATGGGACTGGAATGGGCTGGACTCAGCTCACACCTGGGTCCTTCCGGGGTGGCCGGGCCCCTGCTGGCCCTTCCTTCGGCGAAGCCTCAGCCCACCCAGGAACAAGCCAGGCTTCCTTTGTCCTTTTGACTCAGTCTTTGCAGAGTCAAGCTTCTCGAGAAGTTCACTTGGTGATACCTTTCAATGCATTTTATACTGTTTTGATTGCCTTTTTGTAGAAATAAAAATTGACCTTAGAATTTATCATCAGAAAAAAATAAATATAATTTTCTAGTTATCAAAACTAAAATTTTTATCTGTACTGTCTCACATGAGCCCTAATCAAAAGCTTCACCCTAACCTCAACCCTAATCCTAACATAAATGACATTAGCATTAAAATGTTTTAAAGGAAAATGAACATTACCCTAAATTTTCCAGTGATCTGTGTACTTAGTACATGACAGACATTATAAAAAAAAAATAACATAAGACCCACGGACCCTCAGCAATCAACATGCTTCAGAATTGACTCAAAAAATATTGCCTGTTCCCAAGTGGAATATGAACAAGTAGAGGCAAACTCCAAGTGCTGGATCCACACCCTCACTGAACATCGGATCCATGCGTTTTCAACAGTTGGCTCTGTGTCACTGTGTGTGCTCTATTAATTCCCATAGGAACATTCTACAGACATCACAATTATTTATTAAATATTATGCAAATAACCTTATGAACACAAACATTTTATAAATATCAATCCCATTAAAGAAAGTTCTCCATATGGTTATTGAGCATAGAGTATTATGTGCCTATATGTGAATAAATTATAACTGCAAGTAAGCTCACTTCTAATTGTACAAATAACAAAAATAACCACTGAATTGATTTGTCTAACCTAAGCAAGATTTATCTCATTTTTAACATAAGTTCTACACATGTTAATGTGGCTGTATATACTGCATCATCTCAAAAATGGGATATTGTGGGAAAATTTTTCACAACCAAATTTGGGTTTAAGGGCTATATAAGGCATGCCCTGTAGAATATGCTTTGCACTTGGTATACAAACTATGCATTCAATACTTCCACCTACCCTTGCAAGAAAGACCAGAACAAAGGGCATTTGTCTTTGAACATTAATAAAAAAACACACATCTGTATCATAATGTAAAACACAATTTCTATTTCTTTCAGAATTCTTACAAACTGTATTGGATACCAAACTGGCTTGATTAATTACTGTTCCAAAGACTGGACAGAACTCAGTCACAATACGAATCATGGATTAACAAGATTTTCTCACCTGCATAATTTACAATTTCCTATGTAGTGCTAATGGAAACTGATGGTAAACTGATAGTAAACTGATGGTAATCTCATTTACTTCATATTTACTTAACTTACTCGTTATGTGGTGCCTAGGACAGAGGATAATAAAGAAGTAAAATACTGACTAACTTACTTTCATTTACTGAGGAGTCTTCCAGATCCCCTTAGTATAGTAATTAAGTCAGTTGGACTGCTATTTTAATATTTCAATTTCTTTAAGTTTCACTAAGTATACAAGTGAAATTAGTTCCAGATTTTTAATAATTACCATGATCTACTTTTGGGTTTTCAGAGGAAATAGGGCAACGAGAGCTTGGCTATGTTTGCAACTAATAGTGTTAACTGCACATAGAGTGGAAAATCTCTCATTTGTAATGTGTTTACAGCCAAAAGTTGTGCCATGTGCTATTATGTATACCACACACAAAATTATGCACCATTGATAGCTGGAATGTGTGATTTTTCTGACTGGAAAGCCTTAAAATTATCATCTCATATTTTAGGCGACATAATGTGTGATTTAAGAACAGCAGAAGAAAGAAAATGACTGATAATTGTTGAGTCTATTGTGTTTGGAATGCTGTCATTCTGAATCCTCAGCTGGTAGGAAGAAAGGCCGAGGAAGGACCTGTACTACTCCCTAAGTGGCCTAACAGCCCAAATAGCCCATTGCTGATGTTGAATTATCTGTGTTTGGGAAACTGACAGAGTCTGGGTTGTATCTCTACTGGCAATTGCCACTGACGTATTTGCTTGGCAGGGGTGGCAGCTGAGAAAAGTACTTCAATACTGGAAGGGGGATGAAGTGATCACTCCGAGGTGAAAGTTATTGGCTGTCTTATTAAAATTAAATCCTTAAATGGTTGGATTGTAG